CTCCCCCTAAAACCCCCCCTCCCTTCCCTCCCCCCGACTTCCCAGAGCCCGTACACGGTATAGCTTTTTAACAAACAGTCTAAAATATTTTAAAACAAAGTCCTGCTTTTCACGGCTTTTCGGTTGCCTCTTCCCAAATTACGCTGTTGGGGCTTCCTCACGCTGCAGGGAGTTTAAAGGCAGCAGTTAGTTCTGAGTTGGTGCATCAGCCGGGAGTAGAGGATTGAGCATTGCAGAAGAGCTGCTGGCTCCAGGGTGCGGGGTCCCAGCACCCCTCAAATGGGAGAGCTTCTTCCCAGCAAGTGGGGCAACCAGTTGGGAGGAGCAATTCTGGGTTGATGACTTCGCCAGGAAGGTCCTGGGTAGAACTTGACCTCCAGTTTTTCCGTCCCGCAGAAATGCCCTGGTCTGCAGCCATGACCACCTGACCCTCTTCCTCACCCTGGTGGCGGGCCTGGAGTTTATCCGATTTGACCTGGACCTGGTGAGCCACCTCCGGCCTCCTGGAGCAGCCAGCTTTCAATTCCCTCCTCCCATTGGACTGGGGTACATCCCACACCCGCCTTCCACTGCTGGGCCTCCTGATGGATTTCTCTGTTACATCTGAAGGCAGCTGTGTTTTTTTAAAAAATTATTTCCAACTGATGGGCAAACTTCCTGAAGCAAAGAACGGTGGGAAAGGGGATTTCTTGGGAGGGGATGGCGAGCAGCAATTCCACCTCGATCTCTCCCGCTTTTTCCAGGATGCCCCTTACCTGGACTTGGCTCCCTACATGCCAGATTACTACAAGCCCCAGTACCTGCTGGATTTTGAGGACCGGCTGCCCAGCTCCGTCCATGGGTCCGACAGCCTCTCCCTCAACTCCTTCAACTCGGTGACATCCACCAACTTGGAGTGGGACGACAGTGCCATCGCCCCCTCCAGTGAGGGTAAGACAGCGCCATCGCCCCCTCCAGTGGGCGCGTGGATGGGCGGGCAGGAGCTCTGGGAGCCAAAAGATGGCACGGGAATGCGTTGACTCCACGGAGCGCTGGTGGGGCTGGTGGTTCCGGCCACGCCTGCCCAGGCGACCGTCCTACCCATAGAACGGTGGGACTGGGGGGGACAGTTCTTTGGCTGGAGGAAGGCCCTATCAAGCTGCAAACTCTGCCTCCAGCATCTCCAGTTCAAAGCCCCTCAGGCAATTGGGGTGGGCCAGTATTTTGAGGTACTGTGTTTCCCCCAAAATAAGTCAGGGCCTTATATTCTTTTGACACCCCCCCTCCCCCCAAAATAAGTGCTTGGCCTAGGAGGCGGCGAGTGTGGTCATCTCATGGCTGCTGCTATGTTGCAATATTTTCGGGGAGGATTTATTTTAGCGCATGCGCTCAAAAGTCCGATTGGGCTTATTATCCAGGGAGGTCTTATATTCGGGAAAACAGGCTACTTCTGAGCTTGCCTCCCTTGATCCCATACGATCAGCATGGGTTTTTTTTGACCAACCTCAAGGGCCGCTCGGCCTGAATCATCCCTTCCCTTCCACCCGCCCTCCCCAGTCGCAGTTTGGGAAAAGCCCTTCGCTGACACTGCTCTGCACTCAGAGGGAAAGCAAGAACAGCTTCCTTTAATCTTCCGAGATAACGTGGTCCCTGAGCAGGATCTGGAACTGAGCCCAGCCCTGCAGCCTGAGCTGAGAGAGAGTTCCCCGCCCTGCCCTTGTCCTTGCTCTATTCCCCCCACCCACCTTCCCCTTCGATCATGATCGCCAGAAGGTTATTCCATGTCAGTTAGTTAGTTAGTTAGTTTATTTTATTGTCATTGCAGATGGTACAACCCAATTAAATGCTGTCTTCAGTGTACATTATAACTATAAAAATAAAAACACACTTCCTTCGCATGCTATATCATTGAAATTGAAAAACCCTGATATTGCATTCATATTGCACCATTTCATAGAATTCAATATACCATATTTTTTGGACTATAAGACGCACCGGTGTATAAGACGCACCAAGATTTCGAAGATGTAAGTAAGAAAAAAAAAGTTATTGTCTTCTCCAACCCCCAGCCAAAACGGC